TCCTCCCGCCGGGCACCTGGAGTGACAGGTGGGCACACCCTGGACACGCAGCCGTCTGACGTGAGATGAATCCAGCTCCGTCACCAGCCCAGGAGCCGTCACGCGCACACAGCTCAGGGGAATTTAACTCACACTTTTGATCCTTACAGGGATCTTACTTTAAAAAGTATGTCTAATGTTACTAGACACCTTTCCAAGAGGAGGAACTGAAGTTCAGAAGAGTTCAGAGATTTGGCCGTTGTCAAAGTCCCAGCAAGTCCCGACGGCTGGGAGGCGAGACCAGCCAGGCACGGCAGCTGGAATCTCCCAAGTGGAAGAAAGACCCCCAGTCTGAGCACCACGCACAACGGTAAAGCCCGAGCCAGGCGCGGCGCTGTGAAACTGGGAACCTTGAGCAAGTTAACCACGGCACTGGCAGGGACCTCCGCAGTCCAGGCATCTGGACGCTGTGGCCCCGTCCCCATGGCCAAGGCCGCCCTGAGCTCCTTCCTGGCCTGGACACCACCCGCCCGTCGCCGGCTGGGTCCCTTGCTCCAGGCCCAGGTCCTCTTGTCCACCTCCCTGGCCGGTCCACCCTCAAGGCCACAGACGGAGCCACATGCTGGACACTCAAGCCAGGCCCCGCCTGTCCCCTGAGCAGCCCAAGTGACCATGCAATTCCCTTGGGAAGAGCTGGAGCCTTGGCAGGGTCTGGGGTCCACAGGGCCCCTCCCTGTCCCCACACACGCCCACCCCAGGCGTTCCCACGGCTGGCCTGCCCGAGAGGCCCCGGATCCCTGCTCCCACCTCCACCTCTCCAGATTTGCATCACATGGGAGCACCTGTCAGTCAGAAGTCAGAAGGGCCACGCCAGCCCGGCTGGCTTCATTCCTCTCCACACTCGTCCCAGCACACTGGGTTTGCTGCCCGAACGCCATCTCCTCCACTAGGTTACAAGCTCGGCTGAACCGCCTGGCGCCGGACATTCAGTAACGGGCTACGTGCACCCAGGAACAGGTGCACGGCCCAACACCTGCACAGCCCACACCTGCTCAGCCCGGCACACACGTTCAGGGCCCTCCTGCTGGCAGCAGGTCACATGTGTGCCCACATGAGTCCGGCCCTCGAATCTGCGAGGGGACAGACCCAACTCACCCTCCTCATAGCCCTGAAACCAGGGCGCAGTTCACGGAAGTCGCATGTTCATTTTGGACAAAGTCTGTCACACAGGTAACACACCCTGTTGGGGAAATATGACTGAGGAATTAATGAAATGTGGCTCATAAGGTCATTATTCTATTGCTTAGCCTGGTATTGCGATGTCAAAGACAGAAACAGGAGTTTGCAGGGTTTTGCCCTGAAGGAATGTGTGGACTCAGTGTTTCACTTACTAGAGGCTGCTATCATGGGAGAGCTCTCAAATCTCCAGTAGGGATGTTTCCCAGGAAGGCTTCCCTGTATCTCAAAATCTGTGAGCTTCCCTGTGTCTTGAAAGACAAGACAAGGCAAACATGGCCCACAGGATGGGAGCCGGAGACAATGAGTGCACTTTGCCCAGAGATGCGCCCTGGTGGTTATAAACAACCTGTTTATTAGAGGTGGGCTTCCTGCTCTCTCCTGTCTGTCTACCTTTAAGTCCACTGTAACTAGTCAAAGAAATATGGAGTCACTATACCTCTTTTGTTTTACCTTTGTTAATTGACAACTACTACCTCTTTAGAAATTAGCCCCTGAAAGAGTTTGTACCTGTTTGTTCACCTAGATAGATTAGAAGCCCCTTGAGAGGACTTTTGACCCTAACCCACTACCTGTATCCCCTAGCAACTGCATTCCCTGGTATGCAAGTATGTTACCCTGACAACTGGTAATTGATGTCTGTGATTACAAAAACCTGCGTGAATCTAACCATATTGCTGGCGGTTATGGAGACACCCCTGTCCCCTGGGTGCCCCCGCTGTGTCAAGTCTGATCTCTTTATATATAAAAAACTATAAACCATACCTTGGTCTCTGCGTATTCTTTTCTTTCTCTCTGCTGCCTGCCAGTGTCCTTATCCCCTGTGGCGACCCCCGTCCTAGGGACCTGGCTCGGTGGGGAGAAGCAGCCGATCTCCTCGGGGCCTGCCCCAACCACTCCCGCCGCAGTCACGGTTCTCACGTGCTCACCACGCAGAGACGCAGGCTGCACTGAAGCGTGTTGTGACGCGGGAAGGAAAAAGCGTCCGCGGTGGTCTGGGAGGGGAGGCTCCAGGTGCCTTTCCCGACAGGAGCTCAGGAACCCCGGGGCTGCCCCGGGCGGGTGGCTCCGTGCCAAGGTGCCGTCTCCTGACGGGGGACCAGGGCGGCTCCTCCCGACCTCTGCGCAGCGAGCCCGACGTGTTTCCCTCCTCACGTCACGTCTGTGACGGGGGAGAGAACACGCCAACATTCCCTGCCGCTCCGGCCCGCATCCTGCTTCCCTGCCTGACACGCCCGTCTTGCCTGAGCCGAGTGTCCCCCAGGGTGGTGCGGCCGGCAACGTCCCAGCCCTCAAGCTCGGCGCCAGGTGGCGAGGGGACCCCCAGGGGCGTTCCAGGTGCCCCCGTGGCCACTTCCAGGAAGATTCAAGACAAATACAGAATTTTGGGGAAAACGCATGCCATACACTACCCAAGATGCAGTTCATTGCGTGGCAGTTGATACATTCAAGGTGTCACAGGTCTGGAACGTGCAAAATATTTTTAATCATAAATCTCCTTTCCTCTTTGTCCATAAACACGGAGTAGAAACACCTGCTTTACACACACACAGCGGAAGACGGCCTGTGGACCCCTCCGTGTTTATGGAGGGTGGACGCGGTTCCTCCCCCCCACCCCAGCTCTGCGACTGTGCCCGACCTGCCCACTCTCATAAACTACCACCTGCCTGCAGGTGCCCTGGGCTCACAGGATCTTCCCTGGCGTGAGGACAAAGTATCAAGACACTTGTTAACACAGTACCTTAAGGCAGTGAGTACGAACTCGCAGAACAGTTAAAAATAAAGTGAGGTTTGCTGTCGTGAAAACAAAACATGACTGCTCCCAGGCATGCGCCCACACAATGAAAACCAGCAGCCCATGTCATGCTCCACGTCATCAGCATCGAGTGTGTGCCTAGCCAGCAATGCCATAACACCGTCTTGTCACAGGGAGGCTGAGATTCAGTCCAGGGGTCCCGCATGTAGACAGTCCACACGACACACAGAGGTGAGAAGTCACACTGAGAACGCAGGGCGTCTGCAACTTCCCTGGTGGTTTTGTGCGTTCAAACACGATCACCCACTTGTTTCCTTTCTGTGAAACTGACTTGTGATGCAGGGAACTCTTTTGAGGCTGCGATTCCATCAAGTGTCTAGAGCTGGTAGTTCTCAGAGGTGCACACTTAGGCGTGTTGTCAGACGCGATGCACGAAATCATCCACCTAATCAAACATGTTTAGAGACAGCTGGTCTCTGACCACCTGCCACTCTCAACTACAGACGTGATGGGGACAAGGCGCACGGGCATGAGCCGTGTCATAAGTAGGCGTCGCAGTGCCATGGCTCGCCTCTGACCTGTCTGTGGGTTAAAGCCAACTCTGTAAACAGTGAGGACAAGGTCCTGACTTCCTGTCCTGCCTGGCTGCTCCGCGGGGGCAAGCCCGTCCTCACACAGCACGGGGCGGGATGACCCCCAGGGCCAACGGCGGGGGGTGGGGGGGTGGCGGATCCTGCATATCTTACCCGGGTGTTTAAACACACACCTCTCATGCAAAATGGAAAACACACACGGTCAAAATCAAAAAGTAAAGCCTGGAGCCAGGGAACAGCATGGAACAGCAGGGAAGGAAGGAGGGAGGGAGGGAGAGAGTTTTTGGTCCAGGGAATGTGCTAGATGACTGTTTAAATTGTTCTTGTTCTACCACTTTTTGTATTGTTTATATAAATTATTTATTCACAAATAAACTCATGTGAATAGAAAATTTTTTTCCCAACAGAAGGGACAGCACCGCATCCTGAGCCCACGCGGTGGGGAACGGCGGCGCTTGGGCAGGGACAGACTCCCTCCCGCATCTGCGTGGACTCGCGCCGGGAACAGCTGAGTCACCCGCTTGCACTTCGTCCCGAACAGCAAACGAGCAACTCACTCCACAGGCTCTGCCTCCTCCGTGGTGTCCTGTGTGTGGGGGTCACACCTTGGTCCCCCGCCACATGCAAGGGGTGCCCCCCCCACCAAAAACGCCCCCGCCTCTCCTGGAGGCGAAGGACCCCTTACGCCAGAAAACCTCGACAACACCCATGCGCAGGGCGGGCCGTGGGCAGGTGGCCGTTTATTAGCTTCACAGGTTTGATATTCACTGAACACGTGTAATTCACGCCAACTCCACAAACGACGCGGACGGCTGCAACCAAACCCCAGGTCGGGGAGCTCTGGGAGAGACGGTTCCGCGGCCTCGCTGGAGACCTGGGCAGCCCGACAGGCCGCGCCGGGCGCAGATCCGCGCTGCGTGGAACCCCTGCGGCGCAGCGCCACGGCGTGGAAGCCAGAGAGCCGCGACTCGACCTCGAGTCAGCTGCGAAGGGCGCTCGGCAGGGCGGTGACGGGGACTGGACAGACACACCCGGGACCCTGCGACGCCGTTCGCCCTTCCTCACTCCTTCCCCTCTCTCTCTCCTCCTTGCTGCGCGCGCTCAGGTCGGCCATGGCGTCCAGCGTCCGGCGCACCCACAGGGGCACCTGCGACGCGTGTGGAGCCGGGAGAAGGCAGCCAGCCGGGCCGGCGGGTGGCAGGTGGGTGGACACGCACCACGATGACCATGGCGTTGAGCAGCAGCCGGGCCCGAGAACACGAGGGAGATGAACATGCCCCATCGAGTCGAAATAGCTCGGTATTTGGCAATAAACTGTTTGAGAAAAAACAGAAGATCGTTCTGCACACAACAAAACGCGTTTCCAGTGATCTTACCCGCTCACTGTCGGAAGGACGGGTGCTGCGGGAAGGAGACCCCCGGCCCAGGCCCTGCGCTCACAGCGCGCCAGTCACACGCTCCGGGTGGTGACCCTCGCACAAAGACACGGGGGCATGGACGAGAAACGGGAAGAACACAGCCAGGCGGCTGCGTGGGGCGTGGTGAGGCAGGATCCAGGCGGGCTGAGGCTCGTGGGCTCGCCGACGGACGCGGCTGGCTCGAGGGAGGCAAGCCTGAGCGCAGGCAGCGGCCACGGCCAGCGGCTATGGCACAGGCAGCCGGCCCCTGCTGGGATGTCGGCCGGAGGGCGCCCAGGGAGCAGGAGTCCATGCAGCCGTCCCAGGCACGGCCCCACGCTGGCCCCCGCGTGCGCCGAGCTTACCCTAAAATGCCGCCTTGTTCGTTCTGCAGCTAAAACTCCCTTAACCGGCCGCTGTTCCCCCTCAGTGCGCCGTTACCGCAACGCCCAGCCCTGCGCAGCGGCGGGCGCGGCCAAGAGCGCCCTGTCCTCACCGCAGCAACAAGGCGCCTGGACCCAGGAGATGAGGTCCCGAGGCTTCTTCGTCCCCCCGAGAGTCCTGCGCCCCTCGCCCCCCCTCCCCCGCAAGCCCCTCGTTCCCCTGAGAGTCCTGCACCCCTCGTCCCCCCCCAGCCCTGCGCCCCCCATGACACCTCCTCGCCTGGCGCGGGAAGCCGGTTACCTCCAGTTCATGGCGGCCACTTCGTTGATGTACTCCGCACAGTAGACCAGGAGCACTGGAAAGACAGAGACCGCGTGTTGACTTGACACGGGCAACCGCCAGTCATCACGAGTGAGGCACACGCTGGACACAAGAGCCCTGTGTGCGACGCAACGTCTAACCTGATGTCACGTGAGGCGGGCGCTCTGACACTGCGAAGGGACGGCCACACGGCCTGCGGGCGAGAAGACCCGGGTCCACACGTTCAGGGCCTCGCGGCCCAGGCAGTGGCAGAGCCCCGGCGGGGCCCCGGGCTCTCGCCTGACAGCGCAGGTGTCCCCAGCCTCACTGTGTAAGGTGCCTGTCCCCGTGACGCCGGCCACGGCTCCGGCCACCGACACACGCCACGGACCGCCAAGGGCCAGGAGGCCACGTGCTTAAACCCTGTCCAACCTCACGTGCCCGGAGCTGCCGTGCGAGACCACGACTGAGGCCTCACGGGAAACGGACGGGAAAGCTCCGAGGTTCGGGGGCAAAGGCAGGAGGGAGAACGGACCCACAGGGCAACGACAGCGCGGGACAAGGTGTCACCGTCACAGGCCCACCTGCACCGCCACCTCCCGGCACGGGCCAGGGGCCCGCCCAGGGTCTCGAGTGCACTCTCGGGTCATGCTGTCCCTCAGACCGGGGACGGTGATGCGAGCTGCTGACACCTGGCCTGCGGCACAGACAGTGAGACCTGGCAGACTTGAGACCCGGAGGGCGATTTCTGGTTTTCACTTCTCAGCTGAGTCTCAGGAGCCAACTCTCTGGCTCTCCCTGACCCAAACCGGGGAGGGTAAACCAGGTGAGCGTCTCCTGGCTCCCCTCCTGGAGGGACCCGGTGCGGCCCGAGAGAGGAAGAGGACGGAGCCAGGGCAGGAGAGGGGCGTGGGAGGAAGCCTGAATGTGCTGGGAGCTGGGGAGTCGGGACCCCGGTGTGCGTCGATCGTGAAGGTGGCTCTGAGCTGGGTCGGAGCTAAGGAGTCCTGAGAAACTGGACGGCACATGAAGCAGTGTCCCCGCCACAGGTGAGGCAGTCGCCCCTCCCTCCCCCCCAGAGGGAGCCGCCCCACGCGGCTCTCAAGTCGGCAGAGCTGTTCCAAGTCCACGAGCTCACCCGGCGAGGCCCCTGGGGTGCCTTGGGGCCTTTGCACACGCCGTCCCACGCAGCGCACTCACTCCGGCCCCCTCGCCACAGCTCATTCCCCTGCATCTCAGTTTAAGTGGCCCTGCCACGGTTCGAACCAGGCTCAACGTGCTGGCGACTGTCCGATCTAACCCGTCCCAGCTGGCAGCCGCAGGGGGGCCTGCGACTGCTCCCTGACGCAGGGGCACCCACCACACCCCACGGGGCTAGGAGGCCCCGACTGCCCTGCTTGTCCTCCGCCCCTGTGCTGCCCGACAGACAGCTGTGCCCAGAGGAGGCCGTCGCTTACTCGCACGGGACTTAACAGCTCAACGCTTCACCCACCTTCCAGGTAGCTTCTCCTACAGATCTCCTGCCTCGCACACAGCCAGCGACGAACTCACCTGAGGTCGGCTGTTGCGTTTGTGACCGCCAGGCTCAGTCTCGGTCTCTCCAAAGTCCGCAGAGTCGAGAGGAGCCTCAGCCGGGCCTCTGCTCACGCTCGGCGCCAGAACCGCGCAGGGTCCCAGGGCTGGGGTCCCTGACTCCTGCCCACCCCGCCTGCCCTGCCCCTGCACGGCAGGGGTGCCGCCCTCTTGCCCCCACACGGGGATGTCACCCAGGGTCTCCTGGCCCTGCCAGCACCAGTCGCTGCTCCCGGGCTCCTGTAGTAACACGCCAGTCCCTCCAGACTCCGTGCGCCATGGCTTTTCTTTCCTGTGCACCCTTCCTCAACCGCCCCACGCAAGCCCATCCCTTCTCCAAAGCCCGGGAGCCCCGACTTCAGAATGGCCCGGGCAATGTCTTATGGACACACAGAAAGCATTTCAGTGGCCAGACTCGCCTCTACACACCTGGTGCTGAGCACCCTGCCTGGCATGCAGCAGGGACTCACAGAGTCCTTTCTAATTTAATATCCAAACATTACTTTTCTTTACCGTTTCCAGGAGTGAAATCTGGGAGTGCCTTAACATTCAAAGTGAACACAGGGTGGAAGGGTTGGGAGGTCTTGTAACAACATTCACCTGTTGGGAAGGCACGGACAAACGTGCACACCCAACTCCACACCACACAGCAGTCGGGGCTGTGGAATTTCTGTGCTGTTTACTCACCGAGGCACAGGAAATGCCCAACCTGCAGTCTGTAGCTCTGGGAGGAGACACAGGTGAGCAGCAGGCAGAGCACGTGGAAGACTGCCAGCCCCACCAGCCACGGCTCGGTCCAGTCTGTCTGCTGGGAGGACACGACAGGGGCTTAGCACCCTCACCTGCGCCACTCACTGGCACCAAAGCAGCAACAAGCAACGGCGTTTGTGGCTCCTTGGACTAGTTCTGACGGCCCTGGGACACCTGAGCCACCCTCACCTGCATGTGCTGACTCACCCCAACCTTTCCACCAACCTTTCCGAAATGCGCCCAGCCCAGGCTCCTACTTTACAGGAGGGCCATGTCCACAAGGTACCCAGTGCTCTCCTGGCACTCAAAGCTCCCCTGAAGCTCAGTCCCCACTACTCAGTCCTGACTACTCAGTCCCCATTACTCAGTCCCCACAGACACTGAAGTCCCCTCCTGACACTCAGTCCCCACTGACACTGAAGTCCCCTCCTGACACTCGGTCCCCTCCTGACACTGAAGTCCCCACCTGACACTCGGTCCCCTCCTGACACTAAAGTCCCCTCCTGACACTCGGTCCCCTCCTGGCATTGAAGTCCCCTCCTGACACACGGTCCCCTCCTGACACTGAAGTCCTCTCCTGACATTTGGTCCCCTCCTGACACTCGGTTCCCACCTGACACTGAAGTCACCTCCTGACACTGAAGTCCCCTCCTGACACTGAAGTCCCCTCCTGACACTGAAGTCCCCTCCTGACACTGAAGTCCCCTCCTGACATTCAGTCCCCTCCTGACACTGAAGTCCCCTCCTGACACTCGGTCACCTCCTGACACTCGGTCCCCTCCTGACACTGAAGTCCCCTCCTGACACTCGGTCCCCTCCTGACACTGAAGTCCCCTCCTGACACTCGGTCACCTCCTGACACTCGGTCCCCTCCTGACACTGAAGTCCCCTCCTGACACTGAAGTCCCCTCCTGACACTCGGTCCCCTCCTGACACTGAAGTCCCCTCCTGACACTCGGTCCCCTCCTGACACTGAAGTCCCCTCCTGACACTCGGTCCCCTCTTGACACTCAGTCCCCTCCTGACACTGAAGTCCCCTCCTGACACTGAAGTCCCCTCCTGACACTCGGTCCCCTCCTGACACTTGGTCCCCTTATGAAGCTCATAGGCTTTGGAAGCTCAGCCCTCCCGATGGTCCCTTTACCATCCTCAGCCCTCCCCATGCCCTCCTCCTGACCCCCACTGGGTGAGATGAGCCCTCCCCTCCAAGATGGAGCCCTGCAGAGCCCTTCTGGACTTCTTTGAGAGTCAGCTGCTCTGCGCAGGGTCCCCAGGGGCCTCCTTCGGGTCAGCACACCTGCAGGAAGAGCACAGGTGGCCTACCTGGAGCCAGGCAGGGCAAGAAAGGACAAGCTCATCGCTGCCCATCAGCACGTGGACCGAGAGCCCAAACAGGCACAAGGCACTACCATAGCCCAGCAGGCCACACCACCCCTGGGTGGCCACAGGGACTCGGGGGCCTGAGGACGGCTGTCTGGGGGCACCAGGCCACTGCCAGATGCCAGGACACAGCACAGAGGTCTCCCCACCTCCCCTCCAGACCCCAAGTTGAGCAGCCCCCTTCCCCCCCCAACCAGTAGGCCCGGGACTAGCTCGCACACCCCGCCCCCATGGTCCAAGCTCCTCCCCGCATGGCCTCCAGCCCTGCCCCCAGGGACCAAGCTCCTCCCCACACGACCGACAGCCCCGCCCCCAGGACCCAAACTCCTCCCCGCACGCACTACAGCCTCGCCCCTAGGACCCAAGCTCCTCCCCGCATGGCCTCCGACCCCGCCTCCAGGGCCCAAGCTCCTCCCTTCATGACTTCCAGCCCCGCCCCCAGGACCCAAGCTCCTCCCTGCATGACTTCCAGCCCCGCCCCCAGGGCCCAAGCTCCGCCCCTCACGCCCTGTCCAACCCTTGAGCAACGCCCGGCGGCTCGGCACAGCCCCGCCCAGCAGCCCCACATAGAGCGCAGCTCTGCACTCTCCAGAACACCCTAAGCCACACCCACAGAACCCAACCCGTGCACGCATGGCCCGAGCCCCGCCCTAGGCCCCGCCCACACTGCTCGAGCTCCGCCCGCCAAGGACCAGCCGGCACCACGCACGGCAGCGCCGCCACTCAAGCCACGCCCACGCCGCGCACGCAGCCCAGGCCCCGCCCAGCAGGGCCTGCGCCGTCCCACCCCTAATCCGGGTTCCCCGCTTGTCCGCAAGGCAGCTGGAGCCCGAAGTGGGGACTGCGCAGGCTGCGAATTACCATGATGACGGCGGGGATGCTGTCTGGGAACGAGGTGACGGAGAACGGGGACGGCATGGTGCCGGAGAGCCGCCCTCGCAGCAGCCGCGCACCCGCCTGGCCGGGCTCCAGGGAGGAAGGCCTCGATTGTCTGCTCTCGCGAGATCAGCGGCCCTCGCGATACCACGCAGTTCTCCCTCTCGCGATAGTTCCGTGACGTGTTTTTAGGTGCGGATTATGCGATCTTCAGGATTTCACTGCAAGGGTGATAAAATTAATAACGTCGTACGTAGGGTTTGCTATCTCCCCACCGGCAGGTGGAGGGCGCCATTGGTTCTTGTGACTGAGAAGCGGGCAGACGCGGTGGGCTTCTCAGGGAGGGTCGGGGCTCTGTGCGAGGTCGCCCGGCCAGTCCAGACCGGGACAGTGCCCCCCCCCCCCCGGGACCCCGCAGGGCCCTACACGACCCGGACAGTGTCCCCCCAGGGACCCCGCAGGGCCCTACACGACCCGGACAGTGTCCCCCCCGGGACCCCGCAGGGCCCTACACGACCCGGACAGTGTCCCCTACACGACCCGGACAGTGTCCCCCCCGGGACCCCGCAGGGCTCTGCACGACCCGGACAGTGTCCCCCCCGGGACCCCGCAGGGCCCTACACGACGCGGACAGTGTCCCCCCAGGGACCCCGCAGGGCCTGCACGACCCGGACAGTGTCCCCCCCGGGACCCCGCAGGGCCCTGCACGACCTGGACAGTGCCCCCCCCCCGGACCCCGCAGGGCCCTGCACGACCCGGACAGTGCCCCTTCCCCCCCGACCCCGCAGGGCCCTACACGACCGGGACAGTGCCCCCCCAGGGACCCCGCAGGGCCTTACACGACCCAGACAGTGTCCCCCCAGGGACCCCGCAGGGCACTGACCAGGACAGTATCTCCCCGGGACCCCGCAGAGCCCTGCACGACCAGGACAGTGTCCACCCCCAGGACCTGTGGGACTTGGGTCAGTGTCCCCCCGATGGGACCACGCAGGGCCCTGCATGACCCGGACAGTGTCCCCTTGGGACCCTGCAGGGCCCTGCACGACCCCGACAGTGGTCTCCCTGGGAAACTGCACGACCCAGCAGTGTTCCCCCTTAGGACCCTGTGGGACTTGGACAAGGACCATTAGGACTCACAGAGTGTCCCCTGGGACCCTGCGAAACCTGGACAGTGCCT